TAGTTAAGTTCTTGCTGTTTCCCTCTGAGGTGGGTGAATCACCTCCTCTCTGTGGTGGGAAAGGGAGCTGCACTGTCCCAACCCAGAGGCCCATTCTGTCCAAGAATCCAGTGAACCAGACAGGAAATATGACTGCAGGTAAAGAATTTAAATTTCATAGTAACTAATGCATTTTGTCTCCAAAGCTCCAAGGATGGCAATCTTCACTGCCACTCCAATTTACTGCTTATCTCTCAAACAAAAGATGCTACTTACATATCCATCAAGCATCTGGCAGTTATGTCTTGTGTCTTATGTCTTATGTCTTTTCATGGAAAAGGTTTTCATAGAATATTACCATAATAATTTCTCACATTAAACACCTTATATTCTTAAAATTAATTAAACCACCTATATGGTCATCTTATTTTTTTTCAAAAAGAGCTTCTGCATTTTTTTTATTTTTTTTTTGCTTGATTTCATGTTCTTCATCTCATATCCAGACTGCTCAGTTCTGGTCAGCAATGGTCAGCGTATTGTTGGAGGAACCTTAGCTACAAAGAACGAGTGGGCCTGGCAAGTCAGCATGCAGTGGAGGGGAAGACACGTCTGTGGTGGTGCCATCATCTCTCCTCGTTGGGTGATCACTGCAGCACACTGCTTTGTTGAGTAAGAGAGACACGAGGAATGACAAGAAATAAGTGTTACTTGTACAGTCAGTTAGCAAAGGCTGTAGTCACGACCACCTGCTCAGTCTGAGGTAACACCATGTTCCTGTTATGTTCAAGTCAAAAGCAGGTAAAGGGTCAAGTAAAAACTTTTTGCACCTTTTGCAGCAGAGCTTATTGGTCACATCACAAATGGAGCTCTGTAAAAGGGGCTCTCTGTTCCCCGTGAGTGTTCATCTTGGATTATGAGCAATGGGTGCAGATTTTTTGAGCACAACTACAAACCAAAAGCAGCTCCTAATGTTTGCAAGGCTAAAGTGAAAATAGAAATACATGTAATTTGGCGATGACTGAGGCCTAAACCGTGATTGTAATAATGCTGGAGGTTGTATGATATTATGAAAAAACATTGAAAAACAAAACTGTGAAAATTAGTGGGCACACACACCGCTACTTAAATCGAACTCTATCTACTAACTTTTCTGTCACTCTTCTGCAGTAATAACATGCTTCAAGTAGCTGACTGGACGGTGGTGGCAGGCACTGTAAGCATTGCACACAACTCTCTGGGGCAACACTACAGGGCACTGCAGATCCTCTACCACCCTAACTTTAAGGTTATGCACAATGACTATGACGTGGGACTGCTGCGCACCATAATTGACATGGACATGACGAGTAAGTAAGAGACAGATTGCGCTATCATTCATCAGGGCAACGAAAACCACATCATTTGTTTTTCTTTACGCTGAATGAATGCTGGAGTCTAGTAACTTGTTGAATGTATGTAAACTAGCCAGATTTATGTCACACAAGACAAACAGACAAGGTTTCACTGTCTCTTTTTATAACTGTATTTACTTACATTTGACTCATGAAAAGAACTTAATGTGACCTGACGCACGTTTAAACTTTTATCATGATTAAGGTCAGGACAGATTAAATATTTCAAGAAGTGTAATCCCTTTTGGGTTTGAGGGGGAGATTAGGGGCACTTACATCACTGCACTAATCATTGCAATCGCTGTCATATTGCCAAAACAAATATTTAATTTTTACCAAAACTTAAAATAATAAAGAAAGAACGAACTAAAAACTTAACAAAAACCAAATCGTCAGAAGTGAAACTTACTTTTAAGTCAAGAGAAAAACATGTATTACAACAATGTATCATAAACGTGGGTGGGGAAAAAAAGGAAATATGTGATTTCATAACCACGAGAGAAAGCTAACCTTTATCACTTTACTGCTGCTCTTTGTAGGTGGGGTCCGACCGGTCTGTTTACCCAGTCCAACCGAGTCCTTTCCTGATGGAGCAGACTGCTGGATCACAGGCTGGGGATACGTAAATGAAAACACAGGTGCACTGCACTGAAAGACAGATACCTTTGCTACAGTTTGTGATCTTAACAACTGAGCTATGGTCTTTTGGGCTCTAAAAGAAAGTGATTTGAAAATGCAAGTATAATTTAAGTTGGAGCTTCAAATAGCTTCGAAAAAACTCAAAATCATAGTTTCAGAGTTGGAAACAGTAGGACAAAAACTTTTTAAAGAGCCATATTTGTCTAAGACGTTAGACTTAATTACTAGATTAAAAAAAAATATTAAGTATAAAAACAAAGTTTTTTTTCTTTTTCCTGCCATTCATTATTTTTTGAACTGTGTAACATTTCCACTAGTCACCTACAAGTAACCCTTTCTACTTATTTTAATTCACTTTTTGCTGCTGATTTTTTCATTTTCTGTCAGGCTATGTGTCAGAAGAGCTAAGGCAGGCACATGTTAAGGTAATAGCTCAATCCATCTGCTACGACTTGAGTGTCTATGGTCTCTTCATAACTCCTCGAATGATTTGCGCTGGGAGCATGGATGGAGGGGTTGACTCTTGCCAGGTACACACCCACAGAGATGAAATCTCCTCTCCACAAACCTAGCACAGGTTCATGAAGAATATAAAATATATTTTACAATCTATATACTTTTACAATATACTTTACAATCTATCAAGAGTTGGGTTTCTCCCATTTGATGTTCACAAATTTTGTTTGTGAAATGATTTTCTCTTAAGGGGGACAGTGGTGGACCACTTGTGTGTAAGACATCTAAAGGGGATTGGAAGCTGGCAGGCGTGGTGAGTTGGGGAGAGGGATGCGCACGGCCTAATAAACCAGGCGTCTACAGCAGAGTAACTGAACTGCTTCAGTGGATTGAAAGTTACAAGGACATATAGGTATGGGAAGCACTTTTCCTCACCGCTTGTAAATGTAAAAACCTATCTTTATCTGTCGCTCTGTTTCGAAGAGAAAGTTCTGATAGTTTATTTACTGCATCCGTGTCACAGTCTATCTAAAAATGCTTTTCTATTTTCATTTTGAACTACAACCCTTGACAGATAAGCAGTTTGGCCATATAGCAGATAATAAAACTTCAGCAGTAAAGAAGAAAAAAACTTAAAGGTTAAATGTTAAATCCCGTTGAAGGTTATAGAACCAACATTTCAATACATATTAGTTCTTTAAAGGATGGAGGCAAACCAGATGCATTAGTAAAAGAATACATCAGTAAAATGCAGGAAATACGATTACTTTTAATACCCTGCAGGACTTTTCATAGCCAAAATGCACTATAACAAATTAATGTCATTTGCGAAATATACAATAAAGTTTTTTAAATTGTCCTTGTTTTAATATTTTTTGTTGCAGGATAAAGCAGAGGATTCGGCCGAGACCACCACAGCTGTTCCCGCAACACCTTAAAATCTGACAATGAGATAACTGACAATAAAGATCGACTTGCATCTATCTACCTATCAGTGTTGTTCATTCTACGATAGCGTGCACTGTCACTATTGTCAGTTATAGAAATATAGAAACACTATTATCTGTAGTAGAAATTTACTGCCAGTAATGATACATTTGTAAACGTTTATCAGGACTGGCATGAAAGTGTAGCTGACAAAACAACAAATAAATCAAAGTGAAAATGGGATCGTATTCCTGTCTGATCGCGGCTGCTGACCACAAATGTTAACAGTTATCACAGCGCATGGCGCCTCTTTAGTGTCTAAGTGCACCAATTTAATTGCTGGTGTATAGATTAGTGTGACTTGTCAGGTTCAAGGTACACTAGATGAAAATGACCTGATAACCAATGTTAGCTAAATTTGAAGTACTGATAAACTGTAGAACCAAGCAGTTTCTGATATTTTTCCTTTGATTGTATTATATAAATATTAGTACTAAAGACTAGTATGACTAGTAAGATTAGATGAACAAGATATTATAAATAAAACCAATTATTCATTATTTCAAAACAAATGAATAATAATTAAGTTTTGAAAACCTATATTATGTTTTCAATGGGTTTCTCACACTCTTTACGTGTGTTCAGTGGCCTTATAACAGGAGTTGCAAACTCATTAGAGTCTATGGGCCATATGTAGCCAACTTCTTGCCAAAATTAATCCAAAAGTACATCAGCAGCTCGTTTGGGAGTTCAGGAGCTTTCCTCAGTTAAGGTCAATGATTGATCGTTCATCAATACATAAGAGAGTGGGAAAAAGAGTTCAGAGGCAAAAACCACAGCTGACCAAAAACCCTCCCAAAAAACATCTTGAATATCTCCAAGACTTTTGTGAAAATGTTCTGTCAACCGTTGAGACAAATTTGGAGTTTTTGGAAGGTTCAAATCCCATTACATCTGACAGAAAACTAACACAACATTTCATAAAAAGAACATCATAGCAACAGTCATACGTGGAGGTGGTAGCTTGATGATATGGGACTGTTTTACTACTTTAGCACCTGGAGAACTTCCAGTATTCATGAACAATGAATTCTGCTCTCTCCCAAAAGATCCTAAAGGAATCATTTCGTGCTCTGAAGATCAAAGGCATTTGAGTTATGATCGGGCAATAATCGGAAACTCACCAGCAAGTCTGATTGGCCTAGTTACTGTCTGGACTTTGGTGCTTTGATATGACTTTAAACCAGCCCTTCATGCTTAAGCACTTTCTACAGCAATTCTTTAAAGAAGAAAGGGCCAAAACTCCTCTATGGTGATATAAAAGAGTCATTTCCAGTTATCATAAACGCTTGATTGCATTTCTTGCTGCCAATGAAATTATCAGTTAAACATGCATTTTGTATTTACTTGCATGATCTTATCAAAATTAGTTTGAGGATCTGAAACATGCAAGTTAGACTTAAAAAAACGACAAAGGGAGCAAATACTGTTTTCATGTAGCTCATCACAAAGCTTTTTTTTGGTTGTTTGTTCTCCATGCGTATTACTCCACTAAAGCGGATGACTGAGCGTTTTATACAAGGTTGTGTTTGGACGATGTTTACTTGCCTGACAGCGTAAATGTCACGTAGGCCGCTGCTACGTTGTTGTGTACATTGCCAGGCCCCTCATTCCAGGACGCATGCGTCTCACTGAGGACGGCGAAGACGGTACTCAGCTGTGCAGGAAGTTAGCCGGCAGCTTCACTTACCCATTAACCCATTTTTACCGCTTAATAAGAAACAAGTTGGCATGGCTCCAGCCCGTAAAAGCAGCTGGTGACAGTGGAGTGTTGTTTTTTTCCAAGGACTGATTGACAGTCAGTGTGATAAGCGGCAGGTAACACAGAGTTCATAGTGCTACTACCCACGGTCTCTCTCTGCGGAACCTACGCGTACGTGCGGTAGTGTTGCCCGCTATCAAGAGGTTCAAATCAGGACAAATCGGCGACTATGTGTTCGGTAATAAGCAGAGTGAAGCCCGTTCAGCGGGCCCTGGCTTCGACGCTACGGCTCAGGACAAACGCTGACGGCTTGAATTACGCGGCAGCCCAGAGCAGGCGCTTCTGCCCCGGCTTTAGCACTGGAGCTCAGCCGCTATGGGTAACCAGCAGATCCTACTGCGCCAGGATAGCAACGACGGATGGACTCTTCTTCAGACAGGTAGGTTATAAATGATTATACCTTGTCATGTTTGGATCCTCCTGCATTCAGGAAGAAAACGACATTTTCTTTAGGATTTTTTGCAACCGTCTTTACAGCGTTAAGTAGGAAGTGAGGTAGCATTTAGCTCATTGTTATATTTCTGTTAAGCAGCATTTAATTTTAGTTCTTTTAATGCGCGACCAAGTTAGGTTGTTGGATGAATTATGTGGTTCATTTTCGAGTCAAACAACCCTTTAAGTTGATCTATGCGCAGTTTTGTTTCGGATACTAAAACTTGACAGCTAATCTTTCAGGGGCATATGACCCCTGAATGCTTCCTGACACAGTTGATACGGATGTTTTTATATGATAACAAGTTGCTCTATATTATAATCTGTTCTTTCTTTCAGTTTTTTGGTCTCTTACAAACATTATCTATGAATGAGTGTGTAACCCTATTGTTTTTATTTATTACTGAGTCACACCTGTGTACTCACCTTTTTTTCCCTCCTCCCCCCTTTAGTTGTTTGAAGCAGAGAGCAGCACATACACCTACCTGCTGGCAGACACAAACACCAAGGAGGCTGTCATCATTGATCCTGTGCTGGAGACCATTGACAGGGACCTGAAATTCGTAAGCGAACTTGGACTCAGTCTAAAAGTGGCAGGTACCTACCTTCCCAAAGTTGAGTTCAAACATAACAACTTAAGGAAATGTGCTCCATCTTCCTAACCCTGACACTAAGATGCATTTTCAGATCAGCCCTACTTAAAGCTTGAATGAACTTTATGAAAACATACTTCATTATTACCCTTGGGGCCAAAATAAATATAGTACTGGACTTGTTTGTTTGTATTTCCCTCTTTAAACGTCTGTTTTCTGGGGGAAATTGAAATTGAGTCTCTGTCCCTGAGCCAATATACGTTAATGTGTATTTATATACATACATATATACATACACGTATGTATGTATATATTATATTATAATAATACCTAAGAGTAAATATTATGAAATGAATTTGCAGTGATCTGTGTTCCACTGACTCTTCTTATGACTCGCATTCAAACTTTCTGTTTATTTTTTTAAGTTAACACCCACTGCCATGCAGACCACATAACAAGTACTGGCCTAATGAAGAAAAGACTTGCCGGACTGAAGAGTGCCATCTCCAAATTCAGTGGTGCATCTGCTGATATCCACCTAAAAGAGGGAGACAAGATCCCCTTTGGAAGACACGTATGGCGAAAAAAAAGTT